GGCGCTTCGGGATATGGTTTAGTCTAGTCTACCCTTGATTGGTTTAGGTGGGCTTGGTAGTGTGGGTTAATGGTTGGACTGGATGACCTTAAAGGTCTTTTCCAACCTAGACGATTCTATGATTCTATGATTCTATGATTCTAAGATATTCTGGGGGAAAGCCCAAAATAAAACTGCAGTCCGCACAAAACAAATCATCCTCATGGAGACAAGCTTTTCTAAACTTGATTTCATGTACCTTTCCTTGAAATCATGTGCAACAATATTCTGTATTACAGTAAATGTAATAAATTTTATATTTATATATATCCCTTCCAGGTATTTGTCACTTTTTACTGGAAGACATGGACCAAAACATTAAAGTTCCTTCTGATGAAGACAACAAATTGGGAGAAAGTATCACATATGGAAACATTTTGCATGTCCTGCAATTTCAGAGTTGTCTCTCTTTTCTTCCATATTATTTCTTTTCAAAGTGTATTCCATTCTGTAAACTGTCATTCAATATGTAATCCAGTGTTTTCTTTCACCATTTCTAGGTCTATAGGGAATCATCTCTGTAAAAAGCTTGACTACAGATTTGTTCTGTATGTGTCTTGTCTTCCATTTTTCCCTTGAGACCTCAGGCTCAATATTTGGGAATCATATGAATAACCTTTTCTTGGGCGAAATGCAATCTGGCAAAGCCACTGTTTAAAAAACTGATCCGCTCCTTAGCATCTAAGGAGGGTAATATCACTCGTTTTAATATGAGGACTGACGAAAATAAAATTACCAGAATTCATTCCTCTCATTTCCTTATTCTTCCAAAGGGATCACAAATATTTACAAATTTATTTTAATTTTGCGACACTATACAGAGTGATTATTTTATCTATTATTCTTATTTTACTCAGATCTGGAATGTAGCATTTAAGTTTGTAATTAGATGAAAGCATTGTATTATTATGCCCCCTTTTATAAATTTAAGAACAAAAATAATCGTCTTGTTTGTCTCACCATAAAACAGCATTTGAAACACACCCTGTCAGATTGCAGATTTTCTATGCCAAGTCCAAAAACCCCCACTGCTGTCTAGAGGTCTGAACTTAATCTGATGGATTTTAATTTAAATCAGCCCATAGAAACTGTGGGTCTGGCTTAAAATCTAAATCAACAAGGTCTCATGAAAGTTCTACCCAAATACTAACCTGTTCTAGTACTGGTTACCTTGGCAGACTTGACAGGATCACCGCCCAAAACAGCATGGCATAACAATTTTATAAAGTTAGATAGCAAAAGACTGAGTTCAATCAGAGCAAAAAACATTGTAACACTTTTTAATGCTTTGTTTGATAGATGAATTTGTCTCTTACCACAACAGTGGACAATCTGGATGTATGAGATCATTCATTCCATACCCTGGATAACAGTGATCAACCCATACCATTTGCAGAGTACCTTCAATGTAGTATATTTCAGGCAACGGTTCAGAACTTTTCCTGCTAACTTCCACTTGTTGCTTAAACAATCTCTCTATAAGGTGTTTTGCCTAAATTGAAAAAAAAAAATATTTTTTCAGAATCTTTGATGAAAAGAGGTCAGAATACAAGAAAAGGCAAAAGAATGTGACTATGAGTTAGGATGAAGATTTAAAGGATGTACCACTAAATCTTTTGATTGTAGCTGAATGGAAACAGGACAATCTGATATTCTTGGATACATTGGTTTTAATTTAGATAAACATTGGTCAATTAATGCAATGTCTTTGAAAGTGTTCAGGATTATACAAATAGAACTTCAAAAGCTAATCCATGGTAATTTTGCCCACATTAGACATCTGTAGCCCAACATCAATAGACTTGCAGCGTTCCCATCTACATAGGTACTACTATTTAGGTCCACTTGTATTTCAGACATACTTTCCATCTTTGTTAGCTATTTCTGTTCAATAAAAAGAAAATGCCAAAGGTCTCCTGAAGTTAAATAAGGGGATTATTATTATTATTATTATATCAATCAAATATAATCACAGAAGACTAATTCCCTTACTCAAAAAGATTTGCACAAATACAGTCCCAGATAGGAAAAACATTCATTTCAACCAGTGCAGAACCAGCAGCACAGAATCACGGAAATGTGAGGATACAAGGGAGCCCTATTCCATCTCATCTACTCCATCTCCCTAGCCAAAGGCAATGTTTTATTTTTAAAATTCCTTTATTTTCTTTGGAATTTTGGATCATTTTTTATGAAGTGTCTTCCACTGGAATATTAAAAATTTTAAGTCATAGTAGTTAAAATTAAAAATGTGACTTCTAACTACCTAAAATATATAAAATATGTAACAAAACATAGGCCCATTAGCAATCTGACAAAGTCTAACAGTAAAAAGTATCAATGCTTCATATCCAGACAATGCTTCATTTGCGTACAGGGATTAATTATGTGTATATAAAGCTAAAAAGAAAAAGCAAAACAACACCCCACTAATAGGCTTGCAAGGTTCAGTACACATACAAATTGGCAAAACCAAATTTATTCATGCTGTCTTAATTTGATCCTCTTGTCTGTATGAAAAAGATGAACTTTGATCATGAGCTTTCCCCACCAATTTAGGGTTTTTTTCAGCAGACAGGATGGAAGCTGCTTAATGAGTACAATGTTATTTTAGACTCCCTTACTCCTCCACTGGAATTCCAAAGCTTGATTTGCATACCAGCTATTTCTTGGTATTCCTCCTGTATTTCTCTTCCCCTTTCTCCTTTCCCCTTTAAGAACCTCTGAATTAACAGCTGACCTAGTAAGCAAGACTCTGGCTTCTGGTCCTGTACTGTAAAAGCCAAACACCTTCAAGCAGCTAAAATTCTGCCAGATCAATAATAAAATCACTTTGAACGGATAGAAAGGCACTCCCATTGCAAAACAGCGTGTTCGGTATTTAAAAGATAGTACATGCTCAAAGTTTCCTGATTGTCTTGCCACTTTTCATGCTCTTAATATACTGTCTTTAATATAGACTGATAGTGTGATCTGCCCTATCTATAACAGCAACAGAATATTAGCAATTTCAACTGATACAAATTTTATATCCACTAAAACTTTTATACCGATCTAATTTACTAAAAAATGTTTCATTTTTTATGCTATTATACTTTATTGTGGGAGTAGCTTATGTCAGTAGCCTTTTTATTCTTCCATCTACTGTACCTTATTTAGTCTATGAGATGCATCACAAGCCCTTTGCTGACATAGTCTCTTTTGGTTTTCTCTGTCTAAGGAAGCAACTGTAACGAAACACAACCTGTTTATAGAAGAACCAAGTCAATGAAATCAACATTTTTTTTAATTATTTACTGGTTTAAGGTTCTAGTCAGTTCTAATGCAAGTATTTAGGACTTTTTACCATATTTCAGATGACTAACTAGCAATGTTTTAAAGAAATCATACAGCTTGTCCTCTTATAGATATTATACTTCTATGTCTAATTTTCAGTATACTAAATAGTTTATGGGAACTGCCATTTATTTGTAAATTTTAATGGCAAGGAAATGTATAATTCTGGACTCTTCCCAGATTTATAAATATCTGAATCCTTTCGAAAGAAATAAGCTAATCCCTCTCTAATTGCCTGCCTGCCGCTGTGCTTTTAAAGATTTTCCCTGCTCCCCTCCCCTGCACAAACACATCAGTTCCTGAGCCTCACCCACTCAACCCTTTACATTCTCGTGGGAATGCCTATGACACATAGAACCAAAGGAAGACTTCAAGTACGGACTAAAGAAAAAGTGTAGTTACGTTTTAGTAATCCATTTGCATGGGTCCGCATTCCTTATCAACTGACTAGTACTAACATGTTATGGTAAAGGCCTGGGAAATAGTTAAGCTGCTGAACTGCTCTCCAGAACTGACATTAGAGTAAGCTGCCGTATTAAGAATAAAATTGTCTGTTAATATGTGACTTTAACTCCTTATATTATAAGTTTTACCTACCTCTGTCATGGAAGTAATTCTGAAACACCACATGCTACTTAGAAATCAAAAAGTACTTTCTAAGACTTCAAGCTACTTAAGAACGTGTAGTTTACCACTGGGTCGTATCAAAGTTTACATCCACCTAAATCTCTATAACTGGAGAATTTTTCCTCCTAATGCCCAAATATTCTATAAAGCCTGCACATTAGCTAAATCTCATTTATATAGTTTCAATAGCCTTAGAACTAACCTTAGCTAGCTATGCTATCAGTGATGAGACTCTTCAGATACATCAGTGCTATCCACTATAAATACAATTTTCAGAGAAATACAACTGACTAACAGTGTCATTGGTTTTATAAGCAATTATACTTAATTTTCAAGAAAATTAAAATTGGGAAGTGGAAAGTGGAAAATGAAGCATAATTGGTATACTTTGTTCAGAAAGGGATCTTTTCAAATTGTGTATCTTGATACATAGTGACATCCTGGCTTGTATCAGGAATAGTGTGGCCAGCAGGAGAAGGGAAGTGATCATCCCCCTGTATTCGGCACTGGTGAGGCCACACCTCAAATACCGTGTCCAGTTTTGGGCCCCTAGTGAGGGGGAGACATTGAGGTGCTGGAGCGTGTCCAGAGAAGGGCAACAAAGCTGGTGAAGGGTCTGGAGCACAGGCCTTATGAGGGGTGGCTGAGGGAACTGGGGTTGTTTAGCCTGGAGAAGAGGAGGCTGAGGGGAGACCTTATCGCTCTCTACAACTGCCTGAAAGGAGGTTGCAGTGAGGTGGGTGTTGGGCTCTTCTCCCAAGTAACAAGCAATAGGACGAGAGGAAATGGGCTTAAGCTGCGCCAGGGGAGGTTTTGGTTGGAAATTAGGAAAAATTTCTTTACGGAAAGGGTGGTCAAGCATTGGAACAGGCTGCCCAGGGAAGTGGTTGAGTCACCATCCCTGGAGGTATTTAAAAGATATGTGGATGTGGCGCTTAGGGACGTGGTTTAGTGGTGGATTTGGCACTGCTAGGTTAGTGGTTGGACTTGATGATCTAAAGGTCTTTTCCAACCTAAACAATTCTGTGATTCTATTCTATGACTTCCACAGTTAATGCCTTTAGTGAAAAGCTGGTAATGGAAACATTTTATGCAAACAAATTCATGCTAAAGTGAAAATGTATTTTTAATAATTAGACTTTATCAAAGGAGGATAAGTAGCTGAGACACTGTGAGGTCTTCATTTATGTATAAATGTAAACTTATTTATGTATAAACATACCTAAATTTCAGATATAAAGTTTTATAATTATTACAATACATCATCACACTCATTCAGAAGCCTTAAATATTCCCTAATTTGGTGACATCTTCCCAAGCCACCTAATGATTTGCTTTATATCAAGCCAACTCAATATTTTTGGCAACTCAGTTTTACCCAGGTCTCCTTTAGGCTCCTTTTGTTTTAAAGAAATGGAAAATTATGAAATCTCCCTCTTTTATTGTTGCCACTTAAAGAAGGAAAAGTACTGAGGCTCATCTCAATTAACTCTAGTTCTTGAAAATTGGACATCCAGTCTTAGTTTGTCATTTGGAAGCTGTTTATAATAAAGACCAAGGCACATCCATCGGGTGATTTATACACCTGTTGTAGGTGGCTAGATGAAGGTAATCTGGGGAGTTACAGAATACACTGTATCACCTTCCTTCCTATGTTAGTGTGCCACAAGGGATATGATAATGTTTATTTATGATACAAAATTAAAAACATACTGATCTATCCACAGCTATAAAAAGTTCTAAATCTTTTCTGAAATAATGTAAAACATGCACTTTTGAGTAGATCAACAATCTTTTTTTTATTGACATGAATTTCACATGCAATACTTTGAAGCATTTTTACAATCAAGAAACTTTGGTTTTAAACCCTTACAATATTTTCTGCATATAAGCTGTAAATATATTCTATTAACTATAAAAATTCTAACCATTCTTTAAAAGCAAGGCAGATTTTTACCTGAAAATGTAAAGAAGATTTCATTCTGTAGACCACCTCTCTGGATTTTTACATGATGACATCCTGACGTAATTGATGTAACCTCACAAGAAAGTTCAGCAACAAGTTTGCTTAGCGTCTGAAGCAACACTGTCTCAAAAGAAGTATTATGATAACTGTTGCAGGGGGCTGCGTGATGCCGGGTTGTGAACTCATAGTAATTTTTAGGATCAGAATAAGCTGCAGAAAAAAATGTGGAAGATGATGAGGAACATATGTGAAGTAAAAAGAAGAAATGTAATCTGTGTATTTGAAAATAAAATCGCCAATTTAAATCCTTAATTTATAAACAAAACCTATTTTGCACCCCCAGAGAATTTTTAATGATAAAATAGTGTATGCTGGGCCAGTTGGAAACACTTAAGAGATTTTTACAGGTAGACATTCTTATTTATATCCATAGGTAAGTCTTACTCTTTATTATTGTAATTTTTAATTTTTTAAACCAACAGATTACAGTAAAGGGATCAGGATTATGAAAGCCAAGGTTAAGCATACAAAATCCCCTTAGTATGTGACACAATATTTCATCTCACACATTATGGCCAGTTATAGTAGTATGTTATATATATTTTTAGTCAACTATCACAAAAGTATTTTAATGGGCTTAAAAACTGAATCTCTTCCCCAGACACCAATAGAAGATGCAACTAATAAGATGACCAGGAATTCCTTCTCTGTGAGCAGAAGTAACTGAAAAAGCTTCCATATTGCTATGAGATTTACTTTTATGTATGGTTCAACTATTTCACCTTTACTGCAAAGCTAAATGCATGCCTGGGCATCTTCTACAAATAAGACAATATACCATAAAATGTGTGTTTCTAGTTATTTCATGATAACCACTGTGCTTACCCAAAGCTGAACATCAACAGAGCACAATATTAAATAGAAAATAGGAGTAAAAGAATGAAGAACAGGGGTCTTGGTGTGGGTATAATCACAGAAAGGAGAAGGGGGACAGTGGGGAAGAATGAATGAAGGAGTAGAAACTGAACCAGCTGAGAGAAGCAGCAGAACATCCAAAATATGGTACCAAATTAAGACAGCTCATTACATCCTCTACCTTGCTTTTGCCTCCTCCATTTCCTTTCCCTTGCTGCTGCATATTCCAGATTTTTCTGTGTATATGTATGAAATGAATTTTGTATGCTAACATTCAGATTGGATCCTTACTAAAGGATGTAAATCTGCATTACTGAAAACTGTAACCTTTTCCATCAAAACTGTTTTAAAGAAACTTTTTCCTTTCCAGTTCTGTCAAACGAGATAGCTGCTAAAAGTCATGGTTTTTCTGTATGAAGGCTACTATGCCAAAGTAAAATTAATTTACATTAGAGGTTAATTTAGATTATTGTGCTCTACCATGTTTCTAAACAATCACTGCGACTATTTTAAATTCATGATCAGACATAGTTCCTGAATAGGAGCTCTTGCCTACATCTCCACAAGAACAAAGTACCCATTAAAGAAGAAAAGGAAAGCTAGTAATGAATAAATGACATTGCCTTTACAATCTTTCACTTTATCAAAGACTTTTTACCTGCTGACAGAAGGAAATGTAATCAGAACAGGAAAGAATAAGCTACAAAAATTACATCATTAAATGATACATACTTAAAAAATACAATTAGGTGATAATTAAGGCATTAACATGTGTGAAACAAATCCATACAGCTGTGTAAAATTAATCTCATAAAGAATAACTCAGTTTAAAATTATACTATTTTAATGTTATTAAGGTTTACTGCCTGTTCAATTTGCTACGTTTCATTACAGTTTATGTTGCCTTTTTAAAAATAACTGTATTCATAAGTTTCTCAGTCAGCCACTGAGCTTCATTTAAGGTTCTGTAAATGACATTAAATGAACTGCAACTGCCTGGTAGTAACTAATATTAAAAACAATTTCCCAGAGAAACACAGTGTCTTTATCTCTGCAAATTAAATTCTAAATAAGCCTACTTATTAAAAAAAAAAGCAACGCACATTTTAAAAAATAAAACTTTTTCAAGGCAACAACACACTTACCTGGATTGATAACTTACCATAAATAAGATATTTTATTACAAGGCTTTTATCAGGTTGCACTGCTGTTAGCTTATAAACAACAGAACAAGTGTAAACTCCACTCAGATTGAGGTGTCTCAATATTAAAGTTCCTGTTGGTGATATTTGCACACTGCTATTTTCTAGTAAACACAAAAATGAAATAAATTTAGTTGTCATCATGAGAAAATGCAGAAAGTAAGGCTCCAAATGCTATTTACTGTTAACCTATGCACAAAATAGTGATATTATGGATCCAGATGGTGGCACAAGACTCAGAAACTGAAGCTGATTAGGTGTCACTCAGTTCAGCATTACACAAATACGACGTATTGCTGCTGTGGTTTTAAGTATTTTATTTAAGTATTTGTTGACAAAGCAATCCTAGAAATGTGTTTTTATTTGATCTCAGACATCTATTGTTCTCTCCAATAACCACTTCCAGAGCAAAAAACTCCCAGAAAAAAAAGGACAAAGTGGGCAAATAATCTCTTTTTATACTTCTATATAGTCAAACTGACAACTAACCTTTTGGTCTTCAGTAACTACCTCAAGAATTAGCTGCTGGTGGTTGTTAACATTAACTCCAAAGTAGGTAACACAGGAAGTTCAAGTTAAGCAAGTATTCTATAACAGACCTTCCAAAAAAATTATATGTAATGCCCAAATGAGAATCATGTACGTTTAAGATTGTAAAATAATCCTTCTGTATGAAAAGATATGTATTGTTACGGTGGCCAAAGTCTTAACACAACTCCTTAGTTCAAGGGAGAGAGGAAGTAGGATCCTGCTTCAAAGGACAAATCATGAGCATGGTTCTTTAACTAGGTTTTTAAAGAGAAAGGAAAGCACTGCTTAAGGTCCGATTTGGACACTGATAATGAGCCATACATTCGTCCCATGTAGCCTGCATGCGGGTGCTGGTGCATGACGACAGTTGATGAGGGCTTTCCTGACTTGAAAAGTCCTCAGGAAGTAACAATATAGATATGGGTTTCTCAAATAGTAATATGCAGCCCATCTTGCTGGCAGCTGTCAAAGAAAACTTGAGAACCACTACATTAGAGTCGATTATAATAGACTTGAAGGTAAAATACTTTGATAAAATATTTTGGGAATGGATTTTTGTTTCCATTTTCAGATGCCAAAAAAAAAAAATTTTATAACATCCTAAATAATTTAGAACTTTTATGTAGACAATGGAAGCTTAGAAAATTAGTGTGGTGCAAAAGCAGCATATTTTTAGACTGAAAAAATCAATACTAAGGACATGAGATCTATACTACACACATCTTATGGCTTTTACTTCAGACCAGTCCTAATGTGGTTTTACAGATTGAGCACACATTATTTCTCAAGCAAACCTTTCCAATTAGCTTTATCCAAAAGGAATCCAGTTTGTGCACTCAAAGCCCAGACCATGATCCAAACAAAACGTGGTAAGTGGGTACAGTCAAGTAATTAACTTCAAAGTCACACTCCTATTCAAACTAACATGTTACTGTAGATGCACGCTGATTTTCCTGGTGTGCGATTTTAAGAAAGATATTGGGAAAAAATAGCCTGATTGAAGTACATCTTTTTACACTCTTGGCAGGAAGGTATAGGACAACTTTGTTCCTCGAGAAACCATTTAATCTTTTAATTAACTTAATTTTGTCATATATATCACTGTGTTTAAAAAAAAAAAAATCAAGTGCTGGTAAAAAAAGAGTACTATTAAAAAGACTGAAAGTCCAAATTCTTTGGCAAGAATGGTATGGAATTCCATATCAGCCTAGGCTCTCACATTAATGGCACACTGTCTTTCATTTTTTGGATGATGAAGAGGTTTTTAATCTGATGATGAACTACTTAGGATGCTAAGTCTATAAATTAGGATGTCATTTGCTATTGTATGCTGGAATAGCTATCAGATTAATATTGTCAGAAAAACAGCATAGATTTAAGAACTATAGTTCTGATATTTGGCATATGCAACTGCCCTGTGTGGGCCAAAAGCAACACCACCGTTAATTGACTGGATAGCTGCAGCAATTTAAGATATATCACAGACAGCTTTGCTATACTTACAGAATGCATTACTGAACTGCAAAGATGACAAGTCTGCGAAAGACAAAGCTTGGAAATCCAGTGAAGAGATCTGATCACAAATATTTTTTCAAAATACATCATCAGAAATGGACAATTAAAGTGTTCTTCTGATGGATTGAGTCACTGAGTTTATTATAGAATTTTATCCTACCTTGAACAGTGAATGCTTCATATATCAGAAAAGATCAGAATGTTTACATAGTAACAATTAATTATTTTAATGGTATGTCTGTGTGTAAAGAATGTCCTTTTGGATCACGAAATCAGGATCCTGTCATGTTGGGGCGGGGGGCGGGGGGGGGGGAGGGACCAAATTTTATAAAAGAAACCACATTTAAAATGTCTTGCTCCATGGAATTATCTGGATGAATGCTGCCTACTCAGATGAATTTGGGTTCACAAAAGAGACTGTTAGCTTTAAAATGAAATTTTGAAAGTGATTAAGCTATTCACCCTTTTCTTAAATCTAATATTTTTTCCATGTTATTCCTATGCAGCAGGTTCAGTAAGACAGGCGAGCAGGATTTCACATAACATTTTGTGATGTGAATTACATTATATGATTTAATAGGCCTCTATTACACAGGAGGCATTTCACATGCATGATGGACAAAAAAGCAATGTGATCAAGTTCAGAGGTTCCCTGGAGTCAGTGAAAACTGGCATGATTTAAAACAGAAGTTCTTTTTTAATTCATGCTAAGAGAGGAAGCTAGACCATTTTCCAGGATCTTCAGGAATTAGAAGGATGCAAAACAGAGATATTCCTATGAGAATTATGTTACGGAGACTAAATCCCTTAACTTTCCATACCCTTGTATAATTATATTTAAAACTAAGTGTTCCTATATTTTAGTTTCTCTGTTTACTAACCTTAAAACCAACAGATTAGTTCTCCTTCCAGTTCTTTCAGTGCAAAAAATAGTTGCTCCCCATCCTCCCACCCATGTCTTATTCAGACCAGTTTTACAGTAGAGCAACTTCTGTATTTTGAATTTATATATTAAGAACAAAAGTAAATGACAGCAGAATCAGGCCAATGGACTTTTCAGAAACAGAATTTTCAGACATTTAGAAACAGCTATCAATCCAGATCATAAATTCTAATCTTCAGATTAAACTGCTGAGCATGTTCAAAATTAAATATGCAATATCTAAAGATGTCCAAATAGGTAAATTCAGTGATGAATTATACACGTACAGAAACAAAAGCTAACATGGTATATAATAAACTTGAGTTCATCTGAAAAGTTTCTTAGGAACAAAACATACTCTTTTTTGTAGTCCAGACAGGACTCTGACAATCTGTCAGGAAAACGTATGTAAGTCATGTATCAGTTATAAGGATAGCATGAGTATACAGATATACACATCTACTAAAGGCAGCTTCATATTTAGTCTCACTCTCTTTCTTTCCCTCTCCACAGGGGAACTGTTTGATATACCAATAGTAGGTTTTAGAATAACTGGGGTTTAGCCTGTAGTGGAGAGGCTGAGTCCAGTATTTAATTTGTCAGTTCCTTTATTTTACAAAAATATAGTACACACTTTTTTCAGTCCTGTGAAAAATAGTCACAATCTTCTCACACAAATACTCTTTCTGTGCATATATTAGGTGGCAATGTGTATGAAAAGAAGCAGATTTCCTGTAAATCCAAATTCCCAGGTTCATTTTCACCAAACTAGAACAGGCCTATTCCAATGTCTGCATTTGGAAATAAAGACCGAAATGCTTTCTCTTTTTTGTTCTATTTAGCTGTTCAGAACACCATCAAAAATGCTGGTTTGTGCAGTAAAAGTTTAAGATCCAGAACATAAAAATCAATTATTTTAAAGTTTTTTCCTCCACTTAAAATGTATTTTGAAAAACTCCTATTCTCAACTAGCCCAACAGTTGTTTAAAAATTTCAAAGTACAATTTCCAGATCTCAGTACAAAAGAGTCACTGTGCTAAGTGAAGAAAAATGACTTGCTAATTTTAAAGTTGTAATGATTTTAAATTTCATTTTGTGCAGTATTTAATTTTTCATTACTTTCTCAACTGCCCATAAGTGGACTGGAACTATCTGTGAAGAAAGCTGCTTGTTCAAAAAACAGAACTGTTTTTTAACAGCTACAGAAAGAAAAGTGTTTACTGCTCTTAGTGAGCTTTTACTCATGATGTTTTAGTATGTTTTTTACTCATGATGTTTTAGATGACTAAAACTCATGTTTTAGTCATGATGTTTGATGTATATAGCTAGACAGACTTTTGGGGCACAAAACACCTTCCTAGGGTATGTGTCAAGGGTTGGTGTGCCTGAAAGAGACTCCGATTTTTCTAACTATGACAGATAGTACAATGAAAGATAGGCTCTCTTCCTACAGATTTTATGCTTAAATAATTGCATTTACTTTGAAGCGTTCCAAGAAGCAGTATTTTGTTAGTCTTTCCTAAAACTCGATTCACAATTCTACATTTCCACTGAAAGGATTCTTTCGTACAACTACACTGAAAAAGCGTGAAATAGTGTATCAAGCAAGGTTTATGAACCCTAATTTCCCACTGTTATGGAGATTTGTTATGATAGATATTAGAAGAATAACTAGTCACACTAAAAACCAGATAATTTTTACTACTTAGAGAGGCTTACACCTGTTCTAAGGAGGCCAAATGATCAAATTCTTTTACACAGCAAACATTTCATGAGCTAGAAACTTTAAATAGCTTTTTGTCTGTTTATACTTTCTTTTCTGTGAGTCAAAAAAAAATGAATGTCACAACAGCCCTAGGAGACTAAGAAGTATCTTTGTGGTAATGACCCAAAATTGTGGTGGCTGAAGCTGAAGTCCTTTCATTACTGCTTTTTTAAAATAATTTTTCTAAAACATCTCTCATCCCTATAGAAAATTATGTGAGGAAAACACAAGTTTTCTCTTACTGAAATGTTTTTTGCCTGTCTGCTGTTGATTCTAGTACACCTGAAGTTGCCACAGAGCCAAGAACCTCTGCCACGATAGCTTTTTTGCTAGTGAACCAAGCTTGATATAGCAACTTGGGATACTACTGAAGCAATCTGCCCAAAGAGATTTAAACCAGTCAACTGGAAGAAGTCTGAGGTCTCCATGCTTTTCTGTTCTCCACTGTTGAAACTGCAGTTTGAGTAAACAGAAGACAGAGGAGTGAAACAGGCAATTTTTGCTAATTGTGAATCAGGAGGTTGTCTTCTGTCTGATCAGATTAAGCTCAGTACTTAAACACATGACAATATACCTGACACTATGTCTGTCATGCATCACAGACTGGGCATCAAAATGTATCAGTTACAATGCAGGACACTCAGCTAACCAGAATATATCCATCCCAAGGGAGATTAACAGTTTTCTGTAAAATGACATAGCCCACAGGCTTAAGTATAAGCAAAACCACCTATACCACTTTGAGGCAAAGAATGCTAAAAATTCTTTCTAAGGGTAAAGTCTGTTATCAGATTCAGAGCAAAAACACAGTGTAGTGTTAGATGTCATATAAATGTGAAATGTTCTACTATGAAGGTTGGCATTGGCATTATGAAGGAGGATTAAGAATGATGAATCACAACGGTGTAAATGGTATTTCAGATTGTATAACAGGAAAAGTTACTTGAAAATATAAGACCAAGGACAGAGTTCTGATAGACAGCAGCATAGACTAAGAGGAAAGCAAATAGGATTTGGAACCACTGCCATTGTAAAAGGATGAATAAACTAAATTATAAACTAAAACAAGAGGTTGAACAAGTTTATAAATTCATCACAATGCTTATTGTCCTTTTTAAAAATGAAATTACACTAAAGGGTAAGACACACACAGAAGGAAACAAAAAAACAGAACTCAGGTTCCTTGCTCAGACTTGGAAAGATATTACTTCTCCATTTACATTCCCACCTTTATAACCCTCATGCTGCTTTGGGGGGGTAGGGGGAGGGGCAAGGGGAAAGGGAAAAGGGCTGGGGGATTTGTAAGAAAATAAATCCTTACCTGAAGACAGACCACCACCTGGTCTGTTCCACTGGAACATTGGATCAATCAGTTCTAAGTTTCACAGGTGATTTGTAAGACAATATAGAATATGTGGACTGTTGTGACGCAGCTTGACATAAACTTTAACTGAAAATTATCATCAGCATCAAGTATTTATCAATGGTATCCTAACATTTCAAGACAGTGGTTCAGCAATGCCCTTGAACAGAGTTCTAATTTTGGGACTGGTTCTGTTATCTCTACTATCAAAATGAAATACAAAATAGAGACCAGGATTGTTTTCACTGGAAAATAAAATTAAAAGAATTCTTTCTAGTTCTTGGCTTATCTGGTTGTGTAAGCAAGCACCACAGTGCACTGTAACATCCTCCTGAATGGAGTACGTCACTTAGTAGGTTCTCACAAGCATGGGCTTCTGCAGCATTCTGTCTCAATTGGTCTCCAACACACACACACAGAGTGAAGTTGCAGGATACTCAGGCTTGAAAGCTTGCTGTTTCCGTTCTATTAGAAATTGCCTTTTACCACTGCACGATGTATTTGCTTAAAAAAGGTTTAGTGTTGTAGCTCACTAAATGGTGAGCTGCCTATTGTTGCATTCAGACATAACGAGATAGGAAGCAAACTAAGTAAGGATTTACTTAGTCATCTCCCATGGTAAAGCAGGTGTGCATGTCTTGTACACAATTTGTAGCATACAGGTGCTTCTAGATCTTCGGCTGTTTCTAAAAACTACCATTGGTGTAGTCATAATCACTTCCATAATATGCAGGATTTCAGTGTATACAATTTGTTTTATTTCCCTTCCCACTGACATTCTGGGAAGCAAGGACTGCTAGATATTTATGCTCTAGTGAGGTATAAACTTGAATATACCATGCTCTGTATCAGGCTATCCTAATGCCACTGAAAAGCTACAACTGGTATAAAATATTGCAGCTACTACATTTGTGATTTGGAGAATCTGACTAATAATTAAAACTGAATCAAATAAGCAAATTACCACAATGTTATCTTACCATTAACTATTTCAGATTCCCTGCAACTGGAAAACAGTTTAAGTATTTGTTGCAGGAAGGGATTAATGCTCAGAAAAACAGTTTTCACTTCTCCATTGTGGCAACTGGTGGTAATGCCACCACAGTTTTCTCTCCTCTCCAAGTATGATTGTTCGCTTTCATTAAAAAATGAAAAGCCACTTACATTCACATTACAGTATTAAGTTGTTTAAACAGAATAAAGACTTAGATATAACATTTAATACATAAGAATAACTTCAGAATTTTGATAGTCTTAAGATCAGGAGGTATGTCCATCCCAGCTAATAATAGGTTTTTTACATTAGCTTATATTGCAGAAAACACCAAAGTATATATTTTCAATTGTACAATACTATATCATGGAAATAAATGTCATTTGCAGGTGGTATTTCAGTTTTTAATCCCGAAGCATGAAAATTAATATGAATTCTACATGTTAATGCAACTGCCGATATGATTAGTCCTTTTCCATTGCAAATCCTTAATACTTTTTCTCAAAATTTACTAACCGACTGGCTTTAGTAATAGTCTGTTGGGGCAAAATTGTATACATTGCATATCTCTCCCACTTCACATTTTGTTTTTTATTTCCTCAAGGTTGCTTTGTTCTGTCTTGTAGCAATATTTAAAAGAAGCCACAAAATTATGGTGTCATTATTATCATAACCTGCCAAGACAGTAAATTCTGTCCCACCACTGTAAATTTCCATGACAGTTTTGGAAATATATATCATAGGAATAATATAACAGAAGGGCATCTGATAGAAAATAATAGCTAAAAAATTATTTACCAGGTATAACCTTATTCTTCTTCTTTCAAAATAAAGTCTTACTCTTTTAATTTAAAAGTTCTTTGCTATTTTTCTTATTTGTTCATATTCTCTCCATTAAAAAAAATATTTGCCTTAGATAGAGATCCAAAAAAGAGGCATTTTAAAACTGCAGGATTTCAATAGTGTAGCATTGTATTTAACCAAATTTCGGTGAAACCCCCCCTCAAAACAGAGAAGTTGCCCAGCATCTCAAAAGAACACTGGAGCCAAGTCTAGTATATTCACAATGGTATGTCCCAGAGAAGGTGGAAACATTCTTTATTAATACTAAAATTGTTTAGAAACAGAGTTGGTACAAAACATTTTAATCTTGCCTTCTAACTTTCAAATTGGCCTGTGCCATTCAAGTAGTAGCCATGTTTACAGACGTGAGTCAGAATCAGAAGAGAGAAAAAGGACCACTCAGAGCCATTATTTAACATTAATGCTAAATAATAAGTTAAACTACTAAGAGAAACCTTTAAAAACAAATTATTTCCCAGAATTGTTTCCCCTTTGGATAAAAATTGATATGTCTAAGAATTTGTACCAAAAAAAAGGTCAAAAAATGTTGTCTTTTAGCATTCCCCCAAACAGAAGTATCACTTCTAGATATTATAGAATCATAGAATCGTTTAGGTTGGAAAAGACCTTTAAGATCATCCAGTCCAACCATTAACCTACACTATCAAGTCCACACTAAAACAATTAAGGGTAGACTAGACTAAACCATGTCCCGAAGTGCCACATCTACATGTTTTTTGAACACTTCCAGGGATGGTGACTCCACCACCTCTCTGGGCAGCCTGTTCCAATGCTTGAACACCCTTTCCGTAAAGAAATTTTTCCTAATTTCCAACCGAAACCTCCCCTGGCATAGCTTGAGCCCATTCCTCTCGTCCTATCGCTAACTACCTGGGAGAAGAGACCAACACCCAACTCACCACAACCTCCTTTCAGGTAGTTGTAGAGAGCGATAAGGTCTCCCCTCAGCCTCCTCTTCTCCAGGCTAAACAACCCCAGTTCCCTCAGCCGCTCCTCATAAGGCCTGTGCTCCAGACCCTTCACCAGCTTCCTTGCCCTTCTCTGAACACGCTCCAGCACCTCAATGTCTTTCTTGTACTGAGGGGCCCAAAACTGGACACAGTATTCCAGGTGCGGCCTCACCAGTGCCGAGTACAGGGGAACAATCACTTCGCTGCTCCTGCTGGCCACACCATTCCTGATACAAGCCAGGATGCTGTTGGCCTTCTTGGCCACCTGGGCACACTGCTGGCTCATGTTCAGCCGGCTGTCTACCAACACCCCCAGGTCCTTTTCGGCCAGGCAGCTTTCCAGCCACTCCTCCCCAAGCCTGTAGCCTTGCATGGGGTTGTTGTGACCGAAGTGCAGGACCCGGCACTTGGCCTTGTTAAACCTTATACAGTTGGCCTTGGCCCATCGATCCAGCCTGTCCAGGTCCCTCTGCAGGGCCATCCTACCCTCCAGCAGATCGACACTCCCACCCAGTTTGGTGTCGTCTGCAAACTTACTGAGGGTGCACTCAATTCCCTCATCCAGATCAACGATAAAGATATTAAACAAGGCTGGCCCCAAAACAGAGCCCTGGGAATATGCTACTAATAAAGCTATAACTGAAAAACAGACACAGAGAAAACTGTGGGGAAGAGTATTATTGAAATGAAGCCAGCAACATGCATTTAGAGAAAAAGCAACATGAGTAAATATATGGCAATGAAGAACAGCCTGGTCTTTAATTTAATTTTCAGATTTTCCAATAATTGTTTTGTTTAATGAGAAGAGAAAGTGATAACATTATATTCTGGAGTTAGATGGATTTAACTTAGAAAGCAATTAATTCTTATCTCTTCTTAATTGTTGTTGTAGAATATAACATAAATTTGGAGTCCCAGGTTCTGTGTACATAACAAGTAAGATTAAATCGGGACACCTACCATGCAAGAAAGCAGCATTTCGGAGCAAGAGTCCTACAGCCAGGTGGAAGACTACACAGAAAATTGTTATATTTATAATAGTTACAGAAAATAATTATCTTGGTTTCATAAAAGTTATGAGTAAGAATTAAAAAAAACCCTGAAAAATAAATTCCAGTGATGGAAATATATGCTGTGGGATAGCCTATTAAGTATACATAAGTCAGTACAGAACTGTAATTAATTAAACTGCCTAAATCCATTTAAAACAATTCAACAACAAGGCATATGATAAAGAAGGGCCTTTTCTTGGTAAAAACAATATTTTCACTAAAATATGTTACATTATGTTTAAAGAAAAATACCTCGAAATACGACAGATCCCACAATTTTTAAGCTATTGTGTCTTAGCCCTGCACTTCTTAAAAATCTCTTTGAGGGCTGAACTATTAAAAGATAAAACAATGACATTAATACAACTATTTAATTTATCTGAAAAAGCAAGCAGCATCCTTTAGGTTAATCTACACCCTTTAATAGACTTATTCATCAGCGGATATTTAGTTAAAACTTGCCTAACGTGTTATACAATCCATGACTCTCATTAAGGCAACAAAAAACAATGAAAAAGGCCTGATATAGAAACAGCATCCTTATTCTAAACAGCACTTAAGTTTGAATTTAGTTTGAAATATATTAATCTTTTACAAAACAACTGTCACATTTTAATTAAGACCATCCAAAATGGGGATAATGGGGATAGGCACTGTCCAAAATAAGGGTAAAATTTAGCTGTGTTATTACTATACCCTCTGTCAGGATGTCAATCAATGTGTATACTGACCATTAATGAAGTAATGAGCTGGGGTTCTGTCATGATTGTGATTTTCTTAACTTCCCCATGAAAAGAAAAATAAGGTATTTTATGGCTATTTTAATTTGCATTTCTTCTATTTTAAACAGAAATTAAAACCACGTTCATAATGTTTGCAAAGCTTTGCAAGACATACAAGGCTTCTGAAAGAAAACTGAAGTATCTTTCAGGTGGTTATTCTAGTACAAGTCAGATCTGAGTTTCTTTTACAGAGTTTCCAGAGATACAGAACTGAAGCCAGGAGAAAGATGACTATGAGACCGCTCAGCATTTTGTGTTCTTTGTCTCCACCTCCTGCTCGGAAAGAACGTGGGCTATTGGGAGTTAAGGTATGCCTGTGATTTCCAATTCTTTCGAGGAATCTGGGAAAGAAAGCATATAACAAAGGAACTGAAAGCCTTGAATACAAAAGACAGCAATAAAATACTGAACATATCACCAGTAGCAATTATTGTATGCAGATGGGCAGAATAATTATGTGGCACCGTATCAGTGCTTGTTGCTAACTCAGGTTCAATATTCAAAAACTAAAAGCAACAATAAATACTCTGGTAAACCAGTTATAGATTAAGGCATTTGTTGGGGGCAATGAGAGTGGGGTCAAGTCTCAGCTTTGTTTTGATTTGTCATGATTTAAACAATAATGGGAAATTATCAATTCACCCCATCTATTATAAAAATGGTAATTGTACTTCTCTACAGTGTTGTTCTGGAAAACAGAAGCAAGGCAGATTCTTCAACTATCAGGACAAGATAATCAAGGTAATTTAAAAGAATTGCTTGTACTTGTCATTTCAGGATGTAAGCAGAGTACGCCTCTGAAAATACTTAGAAGTTGGAAGCAATAAAACCTTGCTTGAGAAAAAAAAATGAGAGAAGATAATCATAAGAGTAGTCTCATATATGATGGATTTCTGTGATTAACAGTTTAATTTACTTCACAATATTTCTTCATTGTATACCACTTCCACAACTTTGTTTGAGGAGCAAAATTTTTCATATAACTTCATTTTCCCCAAAGACCTCCTAGAAGGATTGGAGAGTTTTTACTGAAAAATAAAATGGATTCAAATTTTCTCACTGGAATATTTACATTAGGTCTTTTAGAATTCTGCTGCACTGGCAGAAACAAAACTAATTTTTCACTAAAATTCAGCTCCCCAAAGAACATGATCAGATTCTCTATTGACAAAAATCAGCATATGCTTTGATTTTAATAAAAACATACTAGTTTATAGTGAATTATAAATCCTACCTGAAAAACAACCTGTTTTAAAATTATTTCTGCCACTATTATCTGTCCACAGGATCCATAAATATTTTATGAACTGTCAAGTTGATTTATGTATCATAATTGGAAAGGGAAAACATAATCCACCAAAAACAAATTAATGAGAGAAAAACTGAAAACAAGAATCTTATACACAAAGTATTCAAAGTTTATGAGAAGGCAACTGAACAAATGCATCTATAAAAGTTAAGCATTGCAAACTGACAAGATATGAGCAGATGTACATAACTTTATGGGATGTTTAGGCACTACTTAATCAATGCAAAAGGAAAGTAATATTTTTTTTACAATAATAATTTAAACCCAAAGATGGAGCTCTTGAACTGTTTATTTTAAAAGACCTAGAAAAAGTGGAAGCAATATGGTTACTGAAGGAAGATAATCTAAAACTTCTGGAATTACTTTTTTGGTATCTTCAATGACAGTGTATGCTAGATTTTGAGAAAGTCAGCTTAAATGCTCTTTCATGTGTATACAAGTTTCATTTGCATAGCAGCCATTTCAGACAGTAAATGTTTCTGTCCGCATATGAATCCCAACCCTTGTACACTCTTTCCTTCACTTTCTACACTCCTTTTAAATTTTTTTCAAGCTTTTTTTCAGGTTTCCTGCTTGAATTCTTTTGCTCTCCTCCTAATCACCTGGAATTTAAATGTCACTTCCTGCAGCAGTTACTAGCAAAAATGATCTTCCAATTCTCACTCTATATTTTAAGAGTGCATATGATCAGGTTAAAAAGCATCTTTTAATAGAAAAAAAAAAGTATCAAGAGGTCATTAGGTCCCACAGAAAGAGCAACAAAACTAATAAAGGACAAAGGAACTGCATTTTAAGGTCATTAAATATATTATTCCATCCCTTCAGTTTGAACCTGCACTTAACAAGCAATGAGAAAAGCTAAGTTTCACTCATTTTTGAGAAAAAATAAGTGAGATTTCTGAATTAATTCCCCCAATTAAGTTTCTTAATTCTTAAGCAGGCCAAAGCAATAGAAATACAGAAGGTCTGATGCCTCATTGTCTTGTACTTCTTACGGGTGTAATACAAGGTGTGAAAAACAGTTCTTTTGCAGAATAACACAGATGAAGAAAAATAGTTTTACATCACTATCAGACACATGGAAGTTTAGGGTAATTCATCCCCAAGTCCAGGGTGATTCAAACTTCCAAGCTGCCTAAAGAGCCATTCCCAAAGACTGGAATTCAAGGATACATTTGTCATACAAAGCAGCTATGTTACTTGAGGATTCATTGGGTGACTTTAAAATCTGATGGATTTAAATTCAGCAGCTTTATTACTAATTTATATCACCAAAACAGGCCCAAGATCCTGCAGAGAGTTAAATTTAAGTGTAAAATGCTAACACCCCGTTTGATGCATTTAAAATCTACTTGGCAGATGTATAAATTCTACCCTAATGCTGCGAGAAATTGAGCTCATGTATTTCTAAAGGGTTCTGCCTACAGGGGGAAGAGTCTCGATTTGAGATGAGAAGTAGCAGGTGGATTGTACCTGCACAGACAAACAACCCCTCCTGCTCCTCCCTGGTCGGAGGGAGTTACAACAGTGCCAGGTAAAAAGGGGTCCCTTCCCACCTCCTGCCCAAGGGAGGAATCCGGGCAGGTTAGTGCAGACCGAATCAGCATTCATTCTTATGCCCATTGAGTTGAAAGGGAATGCCATTCACCCACTTAAAGTTTTGCAGAAAGCATATTCTACTATTTCATAAAATATTTTATTCTGAATCTTTTAGCCTTAAAATGAACATTGCAGTTGCAAAATTCATCATCTTCAAAATAATTCATCAGAAAACTAAATTTGGTCTGAAAATTGCAGTGGCAGGAAGCAGAGTTTAAAATAAGCCTTAAATAAACAATCAATTTATTAATTAATAAAATACCGTGTTAACCAGAATGTTCAATTGGCATAGTTTCAATCCATTTATTAAGAAACGAAAATTCTATGAAGCAATAGGAAAAGATTTATTTAAGTTATGGTAATTGCTAAAAGTTTTTTCAAAGTAATTACGATTTCAGATAATTTTTGTAAAGAGATTTCTGCACCAAAGGAGTGTATAAATAGCAACACTACTTACTTAAGTTATTTTTGCTCAATCATGCTAATAGTCAAGTGTTTTTCTATATCCAAGTATTTTAATTACAGCTGGCATTTCTAAGCTGCCTATTGATGGTAAGTGCTGTGCAGAAATATTACCATTTCTGTTACTAGTCATATGAAAGTCATATAGGAGAAACCAAACTTCAGTTTCTAATCTCTCAGTTAAGTAACCCTTTTGACAAAAAGCCTGCAAGATATGAACCATATTATGTTTTTCAAGTAGGCCTTCATATTTCCTTTCTGACAATTACACCACTAACACATTTCATAAGTTTAAAAGGAAACTTTTTTCTTTATCATATTTCAAGCTAAAGTTTAAAATTATGTATCTTTTCAGTAAGATGGAAACTTCCTTCAGATGACTCAGAAAAGTCAGATGTAATTAAGCCATTGGAAGAAACATGCTCCACATTGTCCTCAAAAAGTTTAATTATTCACTTAAGGAAAAACACATAAGCAAAAACTGTCAGCATTAGTAAACAAAAAACAAAATGAAAAATCTTGAAAGAAAAGCGTTCGTATTCTTTACCTCAGTCTGAAGTCAGACTATATAAATAACACTCCAGTGCAATAAAATTGAAATGTGTCTTTTTTGAGTTGACAATGTCTTTTTTGAGTTGACAATGTCTATTATGCCTACTAAAACCAAAGACAGAAGAAGTACTATGACAGCAAGGTTACAGTGAATATATACTGAAATACTACACATGGGTTTCCATTTTTTGCCAGAGAGTAGAAGAACTTTGAACTTCACCTCTGATCTTGCTCCTGGAAAAGACCTTGACTTTCTAAAGGAATTGGTGAAACTCGATCATAACCAGTTCATGGAATAAGAAGATCTGACACATATGCACACTAATGTATAAATTAAATAATATAAATTAATACTATCAGAAAGCCTAAGTGATTTACTACAGTCAAATTTCAAAACTTCACTAGGAATTAGAGACTGTCATTTCAGGCCATTCCCAGTCTTAGAGTTGAGAGGCCATACAACTGAATTTCCCAATACGTGACAGCTGCAGTTATGCACACAGTGGATACAACATCAGCACACCAGATCTGTATCCTACCACATAACTATTTCTGTACCTCAGAGCCTTCAACAAAGTGATGCGGAGTGATGCAGCTCTTTTAGCTGAGTACCAAAGTTACCACCTACTCATGGCCCATGCAACTCGCAGGTGGTGTTAGACCCCCTCAGGCATGCAGCTTCTTTGATACACAGGAAGGAGAAACACTGCTCTCCCCAACACTTACTGATCATTTTTGAGGAAAAAAAGATTACTTAGATAATCCTTGAGCTTTCCTGCATCCATCCCCACCTCCACATGAGGAAAGTAAGTTTAATCCCACTGGTGGATATGGTGGGTGTAGGCAGGCAAAAGCAGTGACAGGTGCTTAACAAAACCCACAGGGGAAAGCTGGATGTTCAAGGGCACAGCTCCTGTACTATGGAACATCACACCCCAGATACCAACACAAACTTAAAACTACTAGGCTGTAAAGAAGGTCACATATATAGTGACACGTGCATCTGCTTTTGGAGAACAGTGTAAACAAATGCATGAAGGCAAGTCCTATGAGGAGTGGCTGAGGGAACTGGGGTTGTTTAGCCTGGAGAAGAGGAGGCTGAGGGGAGACCTTATCGCTCTCTACAACTACCTGAAAGGAGGTTGGAGTGAGGTGGGTGTTGGGCTCTTCTCCCAAGTAAAAAGTGATAGGACCAGAGGAAATGGCCTCAAGTTGCGCCAGGGGAGGTTTAGATTGGGTATTAGGAAAAACTTTTTCACTGGAAGGGCTGTCAAGCCCTGGAACAGGTTGCTGAGGGAAGTGGTTGAGTCACCATCCCTGGAGACATT